TCTTAAAATGAGTACTTCTTAGTGTTGACGTGATTGTATTCAAAATTACCTATATTTGGTTTTTATTTCCTTGACAAGTGAAAATTTTTCCTCAATTTGTTCCATATTTGTTCTTATTAGAGGCGAGACATATTTAAATGTTATTAGTTTGCTGAGACTCAATTGGCATTGTCTCGTAGTTTGTGGTAATTAGGTCTCAAAATGTCATCTTCTTTCCAATTTTCTTACTCTAAGGTGGCCTAGAAAATGAATGTGGGAAAAGCAGGAAAGGTTTATTTGGTGAAGGGGGGGAGAGAGAGAACCTGGGGAAGAAAGATTTGTAGTGACTACTCACTCTCTGTCCGCCATTTTTATTATCCCTCACAAATCTGCAAATAGAGGAATTTTTGCAATGTATGGTTGTATCCCACGATTAAATATCCGACCACATTTAGTATCTAGAGAACCTGCTATCTGACCAACTATCTGCCAATTTCGATATTTTAAACTCAAAGGAACCTTCATATACGTATATTGAGCTAAATAAATTAATAAAAATTGATCGTAGGGGGGAATTTAAGCAAGATGTATTTAAAAAGCTTGTCGAAAACCACTCTATTTCGAATATTTGCCTTTTTAATTTTTAAATGAACTTCTATAGATATGAAAACTTGAATAGATTGAGGACTATTGGAAAATATTCCGACGTTTTTGAAAGTGTAGAATAATATCTTGAGTCTTGGAAGAAATAGAGCGCATTGAAGTGGCTTGAGCGAACGCTAAGATTAAAAATTTTGAAGGTGCCGAGTCCCGAAGCGAAATTTGAGGAACCTGAACCTAGATTTCAAAAATCGATTGAACCAAGACCCCTTGATACCCTGACGTTGAACTCAGGAACCTTCCTTTCTCTCATATTATTAATTATTTCTGGACTTTCTGTTTTAGATGCTTTTCATAATTAAAATTACACTTATTATTACTAAGAGCAGTTATGTTACTTCCAAATCAGGATGACTGAAGCATTTAAATTTCAAAATCCACTTTAAATATACACCTGAAAGCTATTTGTCTCCTTTAAAAATTCATTTTTTACTAAAATAGTCAAACTGTTTCTAATATTTCAAACTGATCAGTTGTTTAGTCAATGCAACAATGACATTGCCTTAAGTTTTAATAAAAGAAGAGGGAAAGGCCATTGTTAAGTTAAATATTTTCAACAAAATAAAATTCATCTGTTAGTCGTTTTAGATCACAGTGAGTTACTCTAAAATATATCAGAAGTGTGATAGCACTTATTCAATGTTTCTTTCAATAAAAAGACAACAATTTATTGAATTAAGCTTCACTCGCAAAAAGCTAAAACTTTTAATCCAACAAAATATTAAATTTTTGGGATTAAAGTTTATTTTAAGGCTTAAAATTTACATCTTTTACTAATAAGAATTACAAATTTGTTCGTAAGAATAAGTCATTCTCAGTTTTAGCCTCTAATCTTTAATTGCCCCTGCATAATTTGTTGAAAAGTGGTAGTCCTGACGCAGAGAGTTTCGCGACTTACTGAATAATTAACCACGTTGGATTCTGCTATCTTTATTACCTGCGGAAGCTGACTCAAACTTTTTTATTCTCTCTGATGCATTCCTCCTCTATCTGAACAAAGAATGGATACAAATTCAAATGAATTTGTCTCATTCAAATATTCGTTTTTAATCGCGTTAGTTGATATTCTTCCGTTTTCTATCTGCATTTTGAAAAAAAGTTTTGTAGAAGTCGCATACTTTGTGGTGTAATATCACTAGTTCAGGATAACCAATAAATACTGTGTCATCTATTGGAAAAAAGCAGAATGTCATTCATCAAGGTCGGATAAGATCAGTATAGTAAAACAAATATTGAGGTGCAAACAATTATGAGAGTCAATAATTTTCGTTTCCCTCTCATTTAAATCGTTTTGACTTATCTTGATTTGTCTTGCTATTAACAAAACGAGTTCATTTGAATAACTAAATTTAATTTAAAAAAAACATAGAGCGAAAATAAAATTAAAAATGTTTATGGCCTGAACAATTAAATTGCCAAAAAAATAAAAATGATCATTAAATACCAAAGTCGGTGAAAGCGAATTAATTTGACAAATTTGGTGATATTTATTAAAGTTTTATTTGGATTAAGTGAAACCAAATCGTGAAGAGTTTTAGTTAAAGTTATTTACAAAGTTCATCTACCTGTTCCTGGCTGAAAGGAGATAGGCATGAATCAAAGTGATTCAACCAATCATTCTGTTGAACTAACTGTTCATCAATTTTCACACATTGAAAAACATGAATTAGCCGCGAAAACCAGAAAAAAGACATGGAAATTTGGCTTTAGAGTATTGCAAAATGAACTTAATTTCATTTAAGTACTGAACTGCTCCATAAAGTAGTAAAAACACAATTCAGGACTGATAGAAATCTCTGTAACCTGATTTTACAATATACTCCTATTTGGTTCTTGTTTTATCTCCCAATGGACAACTTTTGGCGTCTAGATTCCACTTCTTGAATCAAATTTCTGATAGATTCTGTTTGGACAGGCATAATAAAAAGTTACTTAATTCTAAATGAATGCGTCTATCCTCTTTTAAACCGAATTTTTCCAAAATATGTGGTTTTCCTTTAAAATTGGGAGGAATATCAATGCATATTTGTCATTAAAATATTATTAATATTCACTCTTCACAAACGGAATGCTGAATAATTCCTTATTAAATCGAAATTAAAGACGAGCTCTAATTTAGTTGTGTCAGCCACAAAATAAACCAATTCTAACATGATTATTGGTTTCAAAACCGCGACATATCCCAACTTTGATGGTTTTTCGTCTCCCTCCGTCCAAATCCCTTCTCTACATGAACTTTAAGTCTACTGAATAAAATGCCGGAAATTTCGGTTTAAATTTCATTTACCAAAGCCAAGCTAAAGATCAAATTTACTGTTTCAGCTAGATTAATTTAAAATTAAAAATTATCCCTCATTCCTTATTGACATCTGCACGTAAGAGACCTTACTTAATCGATCGATAGTAAAATTCTGAAAATTTTTCTACTTAAGAATTGAATGTCCAAGGTATAAGAAATGATAAAATAATTATTATGCTATTTAAGCATAATTGGTGACTTCGGAAGTATGAGAACTTAATCAGCAAACTATGCTGAAAATGGACCACAACTTACCGCAACTAATGCAGTTTTTGAATAAACTCTACTTCCGTTTGGAAATCTTGTTGTAATTTGAAGAGTATTAATATTTTTTGACATTGATTATTGTCATTTGTTTCATCGTTCCATCTTCTATTCGTTAATGCCTTTATTAATTATAGAAAATTAAAAAACAAACAAACATAACTTTCTAATGTCTATGTTCAAGCGTATTCTTCTTATTATAAACTGACATTATACCAATAAAGAAACAGAAAATTAAAACTGACAATGGGAGATTATTTATCTTAAACAATGCTCTAATGGGAACTTAACAACAGAAATCTATCAATTACTATTATATGCTTTTTAGCTGTTTATTGCTACTGCACTTCCGGTCTAACCATTTTTAGGGCCTATAAATCTCCACTTAGTCAAGTCAAAGCTGCAAATGGAAGGTGGGTAATTCTATCTTACAATCCCAGAGGATTGAAACCTATTATGCTTGTGATGCACGTTTGTATGAAACAACATATATCTGGAGATTAGAAAGCTCTTTAAGAATATATGCTCTCAAATATTACACTTCTCCCTCTTCTCCTTCTTCTTGTTATTACTCTTTAAGCAGTCGTATTAAAGGGGAAGAAGATTAATAATAGGGAGATCTTTCAAAGTATCTAACTTAATTTTCCGCTTACGGTCTATTAATATTCAAGATATAGAATAGGTAATCAAATTTTGTCTGGAGAATCAACTATGTTGTTTATTTAAGCAGTCTCAGTTAATGCTGTTTCAGGGCTGCCCAACAAAACGTTGTCTACATCCTTTTTTTCCTAATTAATCTGGACATTAGTAAACTAACTTTGCTACTTTTTGATATTATGTATGAAACATGGGGAAATAAGCGTTTATATGATAGCAATATGCTAAATTGGGACAATTCCGTCAAACCTCGAAAGTTATTAGACATTTAAGCAGCTCGCACCATAACCAGCCTGGCGTCGGAACCAAATAAGATTTAGATAGTTTGAGGGTGGTTTCCGGTTTTTGAAGTCTTTACGAAAGCTTTAAAGTTCCGCCTTAGCACATTTCTACAGCAATTAATGAAAGTCTAAAGTAATAGTAACCATAATTTCATTTATAAATATACGCCATATTTAATACAAACCAAATAGTTGGAGAAAGAGTTTCAACTTCCTAGTTCATTGAAGAGGAAAGAGGTTCGCGAGGCTTTACAATTACCTTTTCTGCATTTTGACATTCAATTCCATCTCCTGCTTGCAATGATTTCTGCATTCAAAAACGTTCTCTCTCCCTCTCTCCCCCTCTTCACCCTATTCACCAACGTTTTATTTGCAAGGATTAAATGAAAGCAGCCACTCGACTGTGCAAAATACCTGTAATAGTGCAAATTCATGACCGCTTTCTTCGTGACACCCACTTCTTCCATTCGTCAAGAGTTTACTTTGTCGAAATCACGAAGTTCGGTAACGTCCAAGTAGTTGACAACAGCACTGGAATGTTAGTTTTCACAATTCGGATTGATTTTTAAAAAAATAAGATTTTTAGCGAATCATAAAGGACATGAAAAAACAACGCCAGGATTAATATTCTTTTGTTCAATCATATATTTCTAACCTGATTAAATAACATTTACTTCATAAATATAAACTAATGTTGATCGTCTTGTCACTAAAAATGCTAATTATTTTAAAGAGTGAGAGAAGTGATTGAATGTAAAAGATCATAATAGTCTAAATAATAATTTTGATTCAGATGCATTATGAAAAATAGTATAAAGGCATAAATCACTGAAAAATTTTAATTTAAGCGACCAATAAAATTAGGCATAGGTACTACAAAGAAAGAACTTAGAGGTGATTCAGAGACTTACTCACAGTGTACAGCGGATATTTGCTCTTGAATGTAAGCCACGTAGTCCGAAGTGAAAGAAGAACGATTGGAATCATCAAAATTACGGCCAGAATTCGTTCCTTCCGAAGAGGAGATGTCTTCTGTTTGAGTGGAGAGAAGGGCTGTCAAACGAGCCAAATCTCTGGAAGCTCGTTGGGTGCAGATGCTTGCGCTCGCTTCGTGGGGTTTGTAGCAGTGATCGCGATGTGTTCGAAAGACTAAAGTGAATAAGATCCACTATTCCTCTCATTTGGTAGACATATTAAATTAAAGTAAGAGAGAGAGGGTAAAACAGGCAAATACCCCTCGCTGTTGAAATCTTTTGGTAATTCCACTTTCATTCATGTACCTTTGAAGCGCCACTTCTTCTCTCTTTCTCCCTTCCTAGCTCTCTCTCTCTCTCTCTCCTCTTTCCTTTCGACCATCAGATCTCCTTTTCCGATTTTGCTAAATGCCTTTTTTTTATTTAATAACCTTTAAGATTATCAGATTTAAGGAGGAACTCTTTTTAGTCTAACTCAGTCAGTTTACGTAAGTGGCGGAATTTTGTATTTTATGCTACTTAGGCTTTATTAATCAGATTGCGAAGGGAGAAGTATTGTAAGTATTAAAATTTTCAGGTTGTTCGCAATCAGAAGAGATTATTAAATGCCATGAATTATAGATCCACCTCTACGGGAGATCTCATGGGAAATAATGTTGAATAGTTTCACGGATTATTATATTCACTGCCTGTGTGGTAATAGGTGTCCCAATTTTAATCCATTGTTTAACAAACAACCACATCGATTGCTAAGATAATCACATACTTGAAGAGATAAGGCTTTTAGACTACTTATTATTTATTTCTTGATTTAAAGAAATAATTACTTTAGTGCTCTAGCTTACCAATGGTATCTTCAAGTCTTAAAGTCATTTATAAACATTTCTTATTACTTTTCAACTAAAGGTTCTCTTTTATAAAACTTATTTGCCTTCAAAAACGCTTTATCTCTTAACAGGACTTCTTTAACTGCAAGCAGATCATATTTGTGTCTTATTGTGATATCCTCAAAATGAAAAAATATTCCATATGTTATTTTGGGTAAATATCGATTTACAAGTTAAAGGCTATCTTCATTTTAAGTTTATTCTTTGAGTGAAGAAATTGATTCATTAAATGTGAATATTCTAAACTAAATTTTCTTAACCACAGCACGCACTTTGCTTTCGAAATAATTAGGTTTTAGTTTGAAATTTCCCAATTAAGACGTGTTAATCTCATTACCACAGCAATACGTAGCAAGACTCAAACCGATGTATAAATCCAGTTTCTTCCCAATTCAATTTTCGAAATTTGAAAGGCTTCCTAAAAATTAGAACAGGCTTCTAACATACTGTAACATAGCACAGTCGCATGGGAAATGAGATCTCTTAGAGCAAACAGATATGTTCACTTTAATAGCGCGGAAAGACATCGCTGAAGGAAAAATCACTAGTGCGCATAAAATTGCGGCAAAATTAGTAAATAAATCTGTATACTTGTAATAATTTATGCGCCAACATAACAGTCCAAAGATTATAATTCCCTCCCCCCCCCCCTGTTATTTGCCAAGAGCAAAGAGGCTCCAGTCTTGACCTCATCTTAAATGCTTCGTTGAGCATATTCTCAGTAACAGCAGAAGGGAGGTGGATTGGAAACACGTACTTCTGTCAATTAATAATTTCTACTTCATCAACTGTTTTATATCTCTGCCACATTTAAATTGAAGTTAGAATTTGTGAATGCGTAAAGCTAAAGTTCCTTAGAATTTGGTTTTTTGTGTGTGAAATATTGCATAAAGTAAATTTTTTTGCCAAAAATTGCATGGAATCCTATGGGCCTAATTGACGATGAATTAATGGGTGTGGCGGCAAAGTGAATTCATGTTTGAAAGATTTAATCAGCACTCTAAAATCATGAGAAATGTACTCTAATTTCTTAAATCATGGTCAATGCTGCATAACTTTAATAAAAACTTTATGTCACTTAGACATAGCAATACTAGGATCATTTTGTTCTTTTAAAATCATTTCGGTATATTCCCGAAACCAGTGACAAATTAATTTTCTGAAACAAATGCATTAGAGAAAGATCATTGCAATACACACCAAAATATAGTCATTTCTTGTAACAATCTATTCAATTATTTAACTTTAGAAATATAACCATCACCTTAGTGATGAGTTTTCGTGTATGCACTTTCTTTTTTAATTTAAAAAGAATTGTACTAAGCAAATGCATGTGAATACCCATCTTCGCGCACAAAACTGACATCAGTTTCAATTTAAATCAGCTTGTCCTGAAAGCAATGTCTAACCGAACGCCCTCAAATTATCGTTCGAAGTAAAGTTGCTTTCACGCAAAAGATGTTCTAACCTCAATTGGAACTAAGCAAAAGCACTGTTTTCGGTCCAGAATTATCTCAAGTCACCATTGCCTCCCTTCGTAAGCAAATATTAATGAAAAAAACCCTTCAACAAATAATTAAATGGTATCCTAGATTGAATTAAAAAATGTACTACATCTAAAGTTATGCTTTTTAATTGAATAGATTTTATCAAAATTAGCAAATGGCATATCTGAAATCTTTCCTACTCCGTTTCATTAACTCCAATTTGAGAGGAGGAACCGTTTGGGTGTTTTTTGAATGATAATCAATACCACCACCACTAAGTATTGCGGTTGTACAATACTCTTAGCTGTGCTGTTATTCCAAATTCTAATGATTCTAGAGAAGAAAACTTGTCAGCTGTTGGCTGCCAAACTGAATTAGTCAGTGTCCATCCAACTTATTTACGCTTAAAACTCGTGACATGGGGTGTGCGATAGACTTACCACCACGTGGTGCACCCTGGGCAACGTTTATTCATACGGCAAAAAAGTTTATTGACTGGCAGTTGACTTCTCACTTCAAACTTTCATCACCTCACTCGATGCCATATTGGAATATTTCAGAGTACTCACCTCACCTTTGTTCTACCTTTGTGTTTGTCTCTTACATCTTTGAAACACTCTTCTGTTCCCCCCCTGTCGACTTTTTTCAATTTGATGTTTCTTCCCCTCTGTGAAGCCTGAAGTCAACTAAAGGGCTAATGATAACCATCAAGACGCCTGCCATTTGATATAAATAAATAAATACTTGTGACATGCATTTAACCACTTGACTATATTAAGTTTTAAGCAGCACAGTTTCCTTATCGAAATGTTGAATGTTAAAT